TTTGAAATCAGATACTGGAGGTAACACGAATAACAAATATTGACAGAAAGAAAAAATGTGATATCAATTTTGCATTGAAACATAAAACTGTTAGCCAGGAAACCGTGAACGTTATAATTTAGAACTCTTTTTGAAATCTTATACATCGGAGATGGACCGACTTTTGAACGACAGTCGGCCAGATAAAAGTATCGAGATAAATAGCTTTCAAGTACACGTTAATTGTAACACAGAATTTTTCTATTTTTCTGGAAATAAAAAAAAAACAATATTAGAAACACTACAAAATACTTGGCTTTTAGTGGACCTAAAAAATGGAAAACTATTTAGCAGCAATTACATATTATAGAGAATAGATAGAAATATAATTTATATAAAAAAATATATCTTCATTAATATCAATTACCTCATCTTTGGACTTAAATTAAACTACCCAGAATCACAAAAATTATTAATTCAATTTATATAACAGTGTTACAGACACTACCTTAGATTTATTTGACAGTTCAGACACAGTTTATAGCTAAAGAATCAGTTCGCTCACTCTGCGTCGGCACTTTTGATCTCAATGTTCCAGTTTATATCCTGCGCAACTCAGATTTGTATCCCTGGCGCATACAGAATCAAATCATAACCAATACAATATATGACAACCGCCTGTATTCAAACAGCAGTCTTCTGCGCATCCTGAATTTGTATCCTTGGAGTGGATGTTATTTTGGAACATCCAACTGGTCGGAGTAACCTAACTGATTATTTAACAATAAACTGTGGTTCAGATCCCTTAATCATTTAAAGCACACATGGTACTTATTGGTGATAATAATATATGTTCCAATAAAAATGATGTAATAGTAACAATGTTTTTGTTAATGAGCTCATTCTTTTGCATTACCGATAGTGAGAATAATGACATACCTAAAATTCATGTACGTATGTAATATGTGCAATTGATTTCAGATAAAATGCGTACAATAGTTATTGCTTAGTGTAGTTGCGCCATTAATTTTGCACCCATCTTATACCTGTTAATAAACAACAACAATAAGCCAATCGTGCTCAATAGCCTCAAAAATTGAATAGCTTGAAGAGATTTGATAATTCTGTTAAATATTTTTACTGGGTTATTTTGACTTTCTTTTTACTTAGTATCAAAATAATTCTTTTGTATTAATTTTATGTCAAAAACTATTCATATCTTCAAAAAATGTATATAAACTGCGCTCGTTCCACAATAAGTCTTCAAAATCTCATAATATCGGTGGTTTTCATAAAAGTATTTCTTAAAATATTTTTTAATTTTAAACATAACGTGACATTCCTCGAGAGCAATTCAGGGCATACTTCATTTTATTGCTTTAAGGGCCCCCAAATAAAGGAATTTCATGCATTAAAACGTACATGTTGTAGACTTGCCTTTTCAGTTCTTAGAACTCTTACAGGGGCGTAGTTACAAGTTGCGCTCATTATAAAATGGAATTCATTTTATTTTTGGCTACAATTATTATTATTAACAAATTTTTAATAATCAGCTGATGGGCTTAAAAAAATACTAGTTTGGGTTAATGGCAATCATCACCATTTTTTAATTAATACTCTTTTGGAGATAATTGGATATATTTAACTGCACTCTCAAAAACACATTGTTTAAAATAATTTAGAATAATAACATTTACTGTAATTTTAGTTTATCTATAGATTTTGTTAAACATGTTTTATTCTGAATGATGAAACCGAAATATAAATGTCAAAATTCAATGGTTTGATTTAGACTTATGAAGATTACAAAGAAGGAGTCTAATCGGCAATAGTAAAATTTCAAATTTCCCTTCTCGTTTTTCTGAAAGTCTTCAAATTGACTAGGTAGTGGGTTGTTCGTTAATTTTCTCTATGTGCCAATGTAAATAAAAGTATGGACGATGTAAAATAATAATATTCTTCCACATTCACCCCAAAAGCTGAGCTTGTCCGAGGAAAGCCCGGAAAACCCCATCCACCATCATCGAAACGGTAACGCATGGCTATTTTTAACCGACTTTAAAAAAGGAGAAGGTTCTCAATTCGTCGGACTCCTCAGGGATGGTCCCATATAAATTTAGTCAAGATCTAATAATGGGGTCCATGAGAAAATCATCAAACTTCAGGGATAATTCGTTATACCACGTTGTCCGATTTCTAGAATTCTTTGTAAGAAAGAGGATACCTCAGTGTTAGGTCAAGATCTGCTGATCTATGAAAAAATAAAAAATCTCAATTTTTAAGGGCATCTGCATGATTTTAAAGTCTGTTTTTAAAATTACTCTTACAACTCTTTTCATATCAACAAAAACTAAATTTCTGCTAATGCGTTATCCATCAAATCCTATAGAGAACCATGCAAATATATTCACATGGTCTTCTGTAGGATTCAAAGCCTGTATGTCTCTTACCACAATAATGACTCGCAAATGAATTGACACCTACGCCACCGAAGGATGTATGAAGGAATTATGAAGGAATTATGAAGGATGTGTGAAGGATGTATGAAGGGTGTATGAAGGATGTAGGAAGGATGTATGAAGGATGTATGAAGGATGTATGAAGGATGTATGAAGGATGTATCTAGGATGTATGAAGGATATATGAAGGAATTATGAAGGATGTATGAAGGATGTATGAAGGATGTATGAAGGATGTATGAAGGATGTATGAAGGATGTATGAAGGATGTATGAAGGATGTATGAAGGATGTATGAAGGATGTATGAAGGATGTATGAAGGATGTATGCAGGATGTATGAAGGATGTATGAAGGATGTATGAAGGATGTATGAAGGATGTATGAAGGATGTATGAAGGATGTATGAAGGATGTATGAAGGATGTATGAAGGATGTATGAAGGATGATTGAAGGATGTATGAAGGATGATTGAAGGATGTATGAAGGATGTATGAAGGATGTATGAAGGATGTATGAAGGATGTATGAAGGATGTATGAAGGATGTATGAAGGATGTATGAAGGATGTATGAAGGATGTATGAAGGATGTATGAAGGATGTATGAAGGATGTATGAAGGATGTATGAAGGATGTATGAAGGATGTATGAAGGATGTATGAAGGATGTATGAAGGATGTATGAAGGATGTATGAAGGATGTATAAAGGATGTATGAAGGATGTATGAAGGATGTATGAAGGATGTATGAAGGATGTATGAAGGATGATTGAAGGATGTATGAAGGATGTATGAAGGATGTATGAAGGATGTATGAAGGATGTATGAAGGATGTATGAAGGATGTATGAAGGATGTATGAAGGATGTATGAAGGATGTATGAAGGATGTATGAAGGATGTATGAAGGATGTATGAAGGATGTATGAAGGATGTATGAAGGATGTATAGCAAACTTAAGAGCCTTTTATATACAACTAAATGTTTGACAACTCAAAATATTTATTTTAATAACTTCAATGTCATCAACTTCATTACATCTAATCTTACATACTAACTAACGACATACTATATACCCTACAGATGTATGAAGGATGTATGAAGGATGTATGAAGGATGTATGAAGGATGTATGAAGGATGTATGAAGGATGTATGAAGGATATATGAATGTATGACGAATTTATGAATGATTTCTAAGGATTTCTAAGGATTTCTAAGGATTTCTAAGGATTTCTAAGGATTTCTAAGGATTTCTAAGGATTTCTAAGGATTTCTAAGGATTTTTACGGATTTCTAAGGATTTCTAAGGATTTCTAAGGATTTCTAAGGATTTCTAAGGATTTCTAAGGATTTCTAAGGATTTCTAAGGATTTCTAAGGATTTCTAAGGATTTCTAAGGATTTCTAAGGATTTCTAAGGATTTCTAAGGATTTCTAAGAATTTCTAAGGATTTCTAAGGATATCTAAGGATATCTAAGGATATCTAAGGATTTCTAAGGATTTCTAAGGACTTCTAACGATTTATAATGAGTTCTAAGTGTCTCTAATGATTTTTAACAATTTCTAACGATTTCTAAGGATTTCTAACTATTTCTAACTATTTCTAACTATTTCTAACTATTTCTAACTATTTCTAACTATTTCTAACTATTTCTAACTATTTCTAACTATTTCTAACTATTTCTAACTATTTCTAACTATTTCTAACTATTTCTAACTATTTCTAACTATTTCTAACTATTTCTAACTATTTCTAACTATTTCTAACTATTGCTAACTATTTCTAACTATTTCTAACTATTTCTAACTATTTCTAACTATTTCTAACTATTTCTAACTATTTCTAACTATTTCTAACTATTTCTAACTATTTCTAACTATTTCTAACTATTTCTAACTATTTCTAACTATTTCTAACTATTTCTAACGATTTCAAACGATTTCTAAGAATTTATGAGAATGTATTAGGATTTCCGAGGATATTTAAGGAAGTATGTGAATTTATAAAGATTTATTTCTATCAAAAGGTAGGGGTACAAAATTTAAGTGGTTTGCCGCTCGTTACATCCTATAATGTTATGCATAGTATTATTTTTTCGTTTTTGTACACTTATAATTGATTAATAAAAAACAGTAGAGTACCCCCTATTTTTTTAAATTACCACTGTTCACGCCACTGGAAAAACAAAAGAAAATTGCGTAAACGTCTCTTCTTGCTGCAGTAAAAATGTTCACCAAAATTCAACTCAATACTAAATTTCATCTTTTAGATATTTAAGATAAAGTCGTTTAAGACCTACATTTATATGAACTTTTTTTCTAAAAAACTGAATTAGAAAAAAACATCTTAAACTTTGGCCACGTACTTAACGATCACCCTATATATCTGTAAATTCGCGAGCGTATTCAGTTCTAGTATAAACGCGAATCTAATTTCAAATCAAATAGTTATTCATGATCTATCTGTCTAAGGCAGTCGCGCCACTTTCTTTTCCTACCATTACAAACAGCATTCATTAACTCAAAAATACATCTTCGCGAGTCATTATGTAAAATAATTCCCTACCTTTACACTCATTGGCGTCTCTAGTAGTAGCTCTGCCCCAGGGCCGATCAAAATGAAACGGCTTACATCGTTCGCAATCTCTACCAGCTGTATTATGTTTACATTCGCAAGCCAATTGCCCATCTCTACCAGCAATACACCGACTTGCATGTCCGTTACACTTACATCTACCACCAACAGCAAAATCCGATACAGCATATTGATGCGTCACTTGATGGTAACCACTGATAATACCGTTAGATCCCAATTCTGGTGCAACACCAATAGATACTTTGGTATTTACAACCTCCTCTTCATTATCCTCTGCTTGCATTTCGTTCACTAATTGAACTGTAGGTTCTTTAAGGTCATCATGCTCATCTAGATGTTTATGCAACATACGCTCATCTACCAGAATGTCTAAATTATCCGATGAATCTTCTACAGGCATGTGGAGACGGTTGAAAACTACTTTGATATCGGTAGCGGTTACCCAGTCTTGTAATACCGGGCTGTTATCGAAATCTGAAGCACTAGGTCTACCTTCTAGAGTACTGAAAGCTATCCTGGATGTTTGTCCAAAATTGAGCATATCACCACCGGTGTATCTATGAGCGTCAGTGCATCTAGCTTCTTGTTCATTTGTTTTCGTGATAGTAGCTCTGTTTGGTCTACCGTAGACCCTTCTACACTGCGATGAGTAAAATTGAAAGGGCTGCCAGGTTTTTCCGTAATCCATGCTTTTATATATAGCTATTGAATCTGGTTTTGGAGTATTTGGACAAAACTGTAGGCTCACGTAAGTTAATTCGTATTTTTTACCTAGACTTAGAGTTAGAGTTACATTATCAGGAGGAGCGTTAATTGAGGTGACCGGAGGTACAGGTTCAGATCTCCAACAAGTAACGTTATTAGGATTATTCAAATCAGTTAAATACATAGCTGGGAATCTACTTTTAGCTTGTTTATCATCACAAACGTGGCATTGAGGATTCGCGCCTGGTTCAGGAGCTTCACAATAATGCACAGGTGAGGTAATCCCGCAAGTAGAAGACGCTTTAACAGGTATCCCGAAAGCTGCGTTTACGAAATCTGGAATGCACCTGCGAGGCCGGTCTTCATCATAACAAGGGTCAGCCGGAGTTTGACCCTCGAACATCTTCAAGAAATTCTCGTTCACTGATAGCACTGAAGATGCGTGGAAAAACATCATGAAAAGTAACACGGTTTTTAACATTAAACCCATGTTAAGTTTTTCGATTCAAACGAGTGATAAGAACATTATTATCCGACACTGAAAAGTTTTTACGTATTCGACGGCGCGAATGAGAGAAGCAGAAGCTGTGCGCTCTCTAGAACGTTCGATGGATGACTAGCGGTCCGATATGTCTGTTAAAAGTCTGTGAACACCTTCCCCCGGAATGGGGCGCATTGCGAGAGAGGTTCTAAGTGCCAGAAGAGCTGCTGGTAATTGATGATGAAGTTGATTATCGCGAATTAATACGTCGACGAAGATTATCGTGAGGTGCAATCGATCAGTGGTGCTGTCCGCGATTAGGATCGATATGTTCTTATGAATATTTATGTACGATTGTTATTAGTTGCGCTGTCATTTTTATTGGCTGGTTTAATGTTTAACTGCTCGAATTTTTGTTTTGTTTTATTTTTCTTTTAATAACTCTGTTAATAAATTATTCATTGTATATTAATGATTAATTTTTAATCAGTCGAATTCGAATGTTTATTCTAAATTGTTTGTCTCTAATAATACTTTTTTTTCTTAATTTTTGGCGAAGGTGATAAAGTATTTTTATAAATTCTAAAAAATATATTTATAGATTTAAATTATTTAAGAGATCCCAATATACCACACAATAATAATAATTACGATTATATTCAATATACAGTATGTGGCAAAAAGTCTGCATTTTTATTATTGATTTCTCAAAAAAAATTTGCTCTTGATAAATGTTTGTACATAATCTAATTTAAAACACAATATAAAATTCATAAATATTAAAAATTTTGTACCATATACAAGGTACGTAAAAAAAACTATATGTTTTTTATGAATATAAATTATTATCTAGATTTGGTGGTCTTCTGTGGGTAAAAGTTTATGTGAAAATTTTGAAAACACAGTTCCTACAAAAAATTATACAGTGATTTTATTTAAAACTAGACAGTCGAAATAGCTTTTCATTTTACGTAAATTAAAGAAAAACCAAAACAAGAGGGAAGTTTAAAAATGTTATTATTCTATTTCCAAGTTTCCAGCGCCTTCGTAACCTTTATTAAAAAAATTAAATAGCAACCCCTACCTTGTGACACATCAAATTAAAGCATAAGAAAAGTTCAACCCAACAGTATGAACAAAAATCTGTTCTGTTCCATTTATTTTTAATTTCTTATTTTGTTAGTTTGCATTGATTGAATCTAGCTATATTTCATCCAACCAGCAATATGCCTTTATTATAAACTTAAGTAAACTAAGAATTCACCCAATAGTTGAACTGATGAACTATACACAGCACTGCATACGTGCACTGTGCTCTGCTATTACATAATTTCACATCACTAATTCAAATGGTTTGTTCCTTCTGAGCAGCGTTGGGTTTTCTAGTACAATTGTACTAGATTCAGTACATTTTAACCATTCATAAATGCTAGTACCACAAAAAATAAAAGTTTCTAAATCTAGTACATTTTAAATATTTTAAATAATGCACTTCTGACAGTCCTAATTCGATACTTTAGGTTCTTTCGTTCGCTGTTGGTGTAGTGTCTACCAGTGTAAATTACACCAGTTACATCACCTTTAATTACCTAGTTTACTTCCTCCTTATTCCTAATATTCGCTCCTGCTAAATAGCTGGTAGAGAAAATATCCACCAGTGGAGACACCACATTGCCGACAGGAAGGTGTAGTAGATTTTACACCAGGACAAACGAAAAGTATGGTGTAGTTCATTCCTACACCTGTGGGACGAACGAAAGAACCTATTATACCAGAGATAAGGGACTATAAGTCTTTATATAAGGGACATAAAGATAAGATACGCTCATAAGAAGCACATGCTTAAGGGAGTCCTCTAGTTTCTCGGTTGTTTTTTTTACGGCTTTTTCAATAATTTTTTACGGGCAAACCATCGAAATAACAAATCTCATTGGTTTTACATAATCTTTATTAACATTTAAATGAGCTTTACAAATTTTTTGAAGACAAAATATATAATAGTATCAAAGTTATAGTGGCCGACAGGAAGACATCTAGAAAGAGAGAGGTGCAGATCTTTTCTTCCAGTGGAAGTTGTTCTTTTGCTCTTAGTAATACTCTTAGTTCAATTTTATTACTTAATTCAGCTTTAAAACTTACCCAGTCTGTCTTTTTATTACCCAGTGCAGGTTTATTTTCTTTCTGGATTATATTTTCACTTACCATTGTCACGGGGTAATATTCTAAATGTAAGTCAAAGTTTTCTTCTATTTTAATCAAATTTCTGGGTATTTTTCTAGTGATGTAGAAGTCCAGTAAGTTATTTTTCATGTAAAATTAAATGTAGTGAAATTACTTTAGAATATGAAGCAAAGTTATCGCCCAAAAAATCAAAAAATTCATTTTCAAAAACAATTATTCTGTAAGCAATAATATGATCTATTTTCAAATTCTATTCGAACTTTTTGCTACGTTTCCATGGTAATTCGTCTACATTCTTTAGTTTTCGTACGTCTCAGTTCTTAAATATCGGAAGGTTTTTGATAAACCAACAATTTTAAAGAGCCCCACAGAAAATAATCAAGTGACGTTAGATCTGCATATATTGTTGACCATTCTTTGTTTATCAACTTGTCTTTCTAATGACTGAGTAAAAAAACATTCCGTCTAATTAAAACCTACTTTTTTAAAGTTGGTTAAAAAGTTTGAAGAAGTTAGCTGGTTTTGAAATAAAAAAATCATCATCATGAAATTATAACGAATTAATATTATTTTTTTATTAAATTAATAGATATTAATATTACTGCAGCTATTGATTTTTTAAAAATTGGCAATATAAGAGATTCATTGCATTTTTGTAAAATTATTCCTGAAATATGTTTACATCCTCAAATGTTTTACTCATATCACTTTCACACTGTTGAAATATACTATTTATAATCAGAACAAAGGGAAATCCTAGTGGAAATTAACTTTTTTGAAATAAATTTGTATCTAGAGCGACATGTAAATTTATTTACCTTCATTTTAGCGCACAAAGAGGACAAAGAGCTTTTGTGGGCATAAAATTATTGGTGAATTTCACGCACAATTATTAAGGGTAAAAAGGCATAAAGTGAAATGGTCTTTGCCTCTTATAAAGCTGATTATAAAAATGTTCTTTATAGGTGTTTTGAGTTTACGGCTTGACATAATCTTCTGCATAACCTTCAAAATTTCTTTTTAAATTAAATTTCACAATATTTTTGTAATGTTTTGCTCCAAAAACCTCATTTTTTATGACCAAATTATAAAAATTATAAAAATACATATTTTTAACAAAATATAAAAAATGTACGTCGAGTAATTTTGAAATTCTTATTAGAACGGCTTAGAGGGTTCTAGAAAGAAATAGAAGATGACATTAAAAATTACTTTTTGGTGTAAATAGTTGAGATATTATATTTGAGACCTAAAAAAACGTATTATGAAAATTATATAATGGTAGGTACTTTATTCATAAAAAGTTTTCAGACTTTTTGAACCTATCCCAATAACTATAAGATATAATTAAATTTTGGAGTCAAAGACATACAAGAACTCTTTTATAATGAATAACATTTGCTGAAAAAATAACAATACACATTTTTTCCATTTGTGTACATATACTCAACTTTTCGTCTTGTCTCCATATTTAAAAAAAGTCAACCAAGAATATTTTCTAGCTTGTCACTTTGAAAAATAATAACAGGCGTAAAGCCACGATATTTAAATTTTAGTCAATATTTTTGTTAGATTCGACTAACCAAATAACAACTAAAAAAATAAATTTCATTTTTCAAAAGTTGAGATCATTTATTATATTTCATTGTATCGTGTCAATAACCATAGCTGTTGAGACACGTTAATTGTTAAATAAAAAAAAAAAAAAATTCATAAAAGACAAAGACTAATCATTTTACAATTTTCCAATAAATTACTGAGATATCCTTCACGTTCCTACAGTTTAAAATCTGCCTGTATAATGCACGAAAACGTTTTATTACATTTTGAAAACTTCGCTTTTTATACATTGTTACATTCAAATCACTTAATAAAACCCTGAATACAAATTCGTTTTTGCTCATTGAATATTCAACAGTATAATACCGACATCAGTTACCAATTTATTAAATAAAATAATGAAGAAGACTATTGTTCAATGAAATCAAAATGCTACTGTCTCGTCGCTAATACATTATCTTATGAATATTCATGTTGGTCCTTGTTATGTTGATCCTTGCCTTCATACTTACCAATTTATCAGAATTATCACTAATTAGATTGATATATAATTCTGGTGAAAGAAAGATATAAAAGATTTTTTTTAATTAGTGTTATATTGCACTTAATCTACATACTACAGTCTGTTCGCTATACTTTTACGCGGGTTTCGGATTAAAAATTTTACGAGTATTTCCAGGTAAGTACCCGAAAGTTTGACCTGTTCTTTGAGGATATATCAACTGGTTAAATAAAATGAAAAATAATGTACAACTTTTTAATTAAATAATAATGGAGAATCTTTTGTATAATTGAGAGCAGAATTAAACTTCTTCATTAATGGAGTCTAATGTGGCTATTATAAACCTAATAATAATTTTATATTACACTTCACACAGAAAATATGGTCTATGTATAATAAGAGGGTTATTTAGCTCAAATAAAATATTTTCTAACATAAAAATTTGTTCCATGTAGAAAATTTCAAATGAAAAATAAAAAAATTGAACTTGCCAACAAAAATGAAAATCAGTCATTATCATCCAAAATATCATAATCGTCATCATCATCACTGTCATCACCATTAGTTGTTATTATGATTGGACTTATTTCGTTTATTTTATTTTCACGAGTCCACCAATCTATTAGTTTCTCGCACTTGGATATACAGTTCCGCCACACTTCTGGAGTTGCAATTGAAAGTGCTTTTCGCCAAGTTTCCCGAACTGCGTCGTCACTATAACCATTAGGCCCAATATGGTTGTCATAATATTGTTTTGCTATTCCCCATATATTCGATGGGATTAAACTGGCAATGATACGGTGGCAGACGTAAAACTTGATTACCGTAACTTTCAATAATCTGATCCACAACAAAGGTTTTTGGTTTTGCGTGTATATTTGCCAAGCGTAATAATTC